TTTAGGTATGAGATTTCCCATATGGGCGCTAAAAATGCTGACAAAATTTCAGCCACTGTTTTCCGGCAAGTTTTTGACTTAGCACGGTACCAAGCTTCATACTTTGACGTGAACGTTACACGCTTCACAAGAGTGCTCGCCAGCTGAGTTTAAAATCTTTAGCTCTCACAAGCACAGAGAATATCCCAGCAAAGCTTTAGCTTTTTACCTTGCCTGGTTCGCGAAATTGTTTCCTGCCAAAGAAATCTGCTTATCTTTTTCAAGGGTCCGTAAGCAGGGTCTAGGCGTATGAGTGAAAATTTTAGAAAGGATGACACACGGATTAGGAACATATACCCAAAATTTCAGCCTTCCGGCTTTCTCGGTTGCTGAGATGAAAGTAGATGACAAAGTTCACTCGCTTCCGAACGCACACAAACACACACGTACAAGCGACCTCTATTATGCGCTTTGCTCGCTTAACGCTATAGCGCTGCACTACAAAGACGCATAAAAATGGTAGAAAATTGAATTCAGGGTCGCGACCCGATGCAAATTTGGATATAATAAACAAATTTCGCCTTTTCACTTTATTTTTTATTTGAATGCCAATTCTTCCTTTCACAACAAATTTCGAAGCAAATTTTGCCTCCTGACTCATCCTAGCTTGAAGGTTAAACTATGTGAGCAAACAGGGCACCAATCGCACAAACACGAAAGCGCCATACTGCGCATTAATTTTTGGACAGAAGTCATAGAAATGGATCCTGGGGGAGCAAACGAACAATTATTCTAGAGAGATAAATTCAAGTTTTAGGGATAAAATTTTCGGAGGATCTAATAAATTAACAATAAACAGCGGTTACTCGGTTTCATGGATTCCGGGCAATCCACTGCGACCAGTTCGACAGCTTTCGGTTCCACTTGAACGCTGTCAGCTTTCTTTTTCGTAGTAACTGAGAAATTAAATTGATCGGCATCTGATAAAGATTCAAGCAGCTCCTCCTCGCGTGCCTTCAATTGATTAGCTTTTAAAAGACTGGTTTTCGAGCAACTCCTGGAGACCAAAGACCAGGGCGGTACACCTCGGTACATTGTGTGTTCATCTCTTTTGCTGTACTGGACATACAGTCTGTATGTACTTCAGTACAAAGAAATGTCTTCCATGTGCCAATTTATAAATGCGAAACGTGGAAAACCATTTTCACGGTAGAAAATGTAAGAACAGTAAGCCTGTGGTCAATGGAAAGACGAATGCCCAGCAAATGCCACAGATAACCAACGGCGTAAGGGAATTGCGCTTTTTTTACGTTATGAAAGATATAAACCAAGGAAAGCGTGCGCTCGAAAAAGAAGTTGGGCTAGTAATGTGGCAAGAATGAGGGATAACAGATGGACAAAACGAACAATTAAGTGGTACCTGTGATGTGTTAAAAGAACAATGGGAAGACTAGTGCCACACTGAGCCTATTCTTAACTCGTATATTTTGAGAATGATATAAATACGGAAAGTATACTGTTGTAGTCAATGGAAAAAAAGATGCTGGAGATTCAGACTGTGAGTTAAGATCGTTTCAGTACTGTTTATCCAATCAGTGATTCTTGTAGCTGTACATGAGAAAACTTACTTGGACAGTTCCTTGCAAGTAATCTTGTTGCGTGAGATATTCCGATAGTTGCGGAACAGAAAATAGCTTCTCGGAATACGGCGAGATTTGTTTGAAGCCTGAATGTGATTTATCAGACTAATAACAGCAAGTACATTCTTGAAAATATATCGAGAAATATTATGCTCAAACAAACTTGTACAAGAATAACTATTATACTGTATTTGTTATGATATAGTGTATTCAACGTACTTTTTCTCTGTTTTATTCCTTCCTCATATTTCATATTTGTTTTCTGTGTTGCTAACCTGTGTGTAGGGGTTTTGCAACCTGTCACGAGAAATAAAGTCAGGTCCTTGTATGCAACAAAATCTGCTGACATAACTATAATTTTTGCTATAATTTGCCACAAAGTAAGTGCTAAGATATCATGCCAAAATATTTTTGCCCCAATCGCTCCAAAAAAACAAAATTTTAAAATCACACTTGGCTTTGTTCAGAAGTTGTTACCTGGCCTATGTTAGTATGCGAGGTCATAATTCAGAACTCAGTGAAAATAAAACTTCAATTTGCAGTTTCTCATCAGGCTGCGAAGTGAACCGGCGAAAATTGATTCTATAAAATGTCAAAAAAAGTCAAAATCCTATTCTAATTTGCCCTCTGTGAATGACTGAGAACTCGACTGGCAGCAACTGCCAACAACAATCAACTTGCTTGCAAAGATATCGATGATTCCCTCATTTGAGGGTTGCTTAGAAACAAGCAGAATTTGGGTTTGACTCTGTGGCATGGCCCAGTACCAATTTATCATCTGAAACGAATAAACGAATTGTAGAGGGATTGGTTATGCTTTGAAAAAGCTCGAGGTTCTGCGCTTATGCAGTGTATATTGCACTAAGTTTGCCAGGAGCAAAAGCAGTTAAGCGCAAAATTCACCGAATAGTGTTGAATCAAAGTGTAGAGTATCCACAACGAGGGAAAAATGAAGATTTTGGACATGTTGAGGGTGCTCCCTGTACTGCACCTCGATAGAATTGCGTGCGAGAAAATTACTCTTACGCAATACGCAACACTCATGATTATTAATGTTACTGTAAAGACAGCACAATAGATGATACTGGATATCCACGTAAACACAACTCAGAATCGGTGAATTTGATAATTCATTCATAATCCGGAAAAGAAACTCACCGTAATCACTGGAGAAGTCGAATGCACCTGGCTGTATAGATGGAGCAGTGCCTGCTTGGGTCGATAAACATCGAAGTCTGTAAGCCAAGTGACGAATGCTAGG